ACAGGCCCTCCACTCCAGCAACAGGAAGGTCTTGCCCAGTGGCTACTGGGAAACCCTGTCCCCTGGAATCAGCTTTGACTCTAAATTCATTTTGTCTCTTCAAAATGCCTCGTAGGGAGGGTAATTGACAGAAATAGTGTTCAATATCTTTTTCTTTTTAATTGACTCATCACAAACGTTAGAATATTTGCAGAGTAAAGGCTTTGTGAAAATCATTTACTGGAGAAAGTGGTGTTTTGTCTGGTGTGAAGAAACTGCCTTCTCCTGATTGAGCTTGAATGGGAAGTATCCATGTTTTGGAAAGTAATCAGTGCCTTCAAGTGTAGCTCTAAGTAGGCAAAGTGGGTCCTTCTCAGGTTTGCCTTTACTCTGATAGACAGATACTCTGCTTTGAAAGTTGAGTAGCTGGAGATACTTCCCTTCCAGTTCAGAGCTCTGCTGTGCATTACATGTTGGCGAGTGCTACATGGCTCTTCTCCCAGACAGCAGGAATGCCAGGTGTCACGTGGGGCTGCATGAGACACATCATGCCCCTGCCTATACCTGTTTTCTCAAAGCTAGTGTGTCTCAGGGTGTGTGATTTAGATTGTTTTCTGATGAACATTAGTCAGCTCAGCAAGTCTCTGCTTAGGGTAAGAAGCATTCTGGCTGCATATTGTTCTTTTCCCAGGAACAAATGAACGGTGATTACTCACAGCCTGCACTTGGAGCTGCAGGTCATTCTTCTCCTGCAGCAGGGCCACCATTTTCTCCTCCAGCTCCTTCCTCTTTGCCTCAGACTTTGCAAGCTCTTCCTTGGTTTTCTCAAACTCCTGTTTCATGTTGGCCATCTCCTTCTCAGATTCAGCACTCTTCAGCAAGGGCTTGATCTTGAAGAACAGCTTCATCCAGGGCCAATGCTTGACGTTCATGAATGCACGGACATTGTACTGGATACAGAAGATTGAGTCCCTGAAATAAAATCCACGTGGTTATTGCATACATTGGGTTGGTTGGATTTAGACTCAATTTGCTGGGACCCGTGAGAATGTGATACGAGGGTGAGAAACGTCTACCTCCTCTCCACCATTCTCTGATACTCCACTCTCATCAGGAAGCCTCTGCACCTGGCTTGTGTCATGGTCATAATCTCTGTTAGTTTCTCATCTCTCATCTCCTCCAGCAGGCCTATCAGCCCAGCCTTGAAGAACACCTTTAGAAAGGGAACATTAGAGCACATCAGTCTCAGCTGGTGCATAGCTACCTGAGAGTCACACAGTGTTTGAATGCAGGACTCATTTCTACCTTGGTGTGGCCAAATCTGTACTGGGTGTGATCCACATCAATGGACCCAAGAAGCTTCTCTGAAGCCTTCTTGCTATCCATGAACTGTCCTTCTGGAATTGCACTTGCATTTAGCACCCTGTATCTGTAGGAGAGTGCAGAACATGAAGGTATCTACACCGATAACACCACTACTGCGACCAAACCCCACAGCCTTCTCAGCAACCTCTGGTTGTCTGACCAAGTAATATCATGTAGTAGAGACAGTCTATTCTTTCAAGAATCTTTCAAGTGAAGATGTCATACTGTTAACTCAGAGTCCAAGGCAATCCTGATCATCAGCCATGTCATATCATCGTGAACTGTCAGTGAACTATTTTTAGATTACTGTTCAGTTCCTTGTTAAAATATTTGTGTTAGTATACTCAGTCTCTTCTCAGCAAGATCTCTCAGTGGGTCATTTTCAGCAACAGCTGACTACATCGCTGATAGGGACAGACCTCTCTGAAGGCAGCACACATACGTTTTTAGGACACTGAGTGTAAATATGTGTTGTTGTTCTAATGTAAAATGGATGTGTGAAAGAAACTTTTATGCTACCTCATTTTTTTCCGAAGTAGTCTATGGTAATGTGATTAGATTACAGGGTGTATACACTGAACTCTGTAGTATAACAAATATGATACTTAAGTAATTTAGGACATAGAAGGTGTGGAACAGGAAAAGAATGGGCACAAAGCTGGAGCACTCTTACCTCTGTTTGAAATCAGCATACAGGACTCTGCTGGGGAATCCTTTCCTGCAAATTCTGATCCCTTCCAGCACACCGTTGCACCGCAGCTGATGCAGCACCAGCTCATGCTCCACGGCACCTAACAAACACCACCGTTAGGGACTGCCCCATTGTTTGACACTCTGGAGAAGAGCTTCTTAGCTTGAGTTTTTATCCTATTGGCTCCCCTTACCAGGTGTTTTTGTTTCATTTGGGATGATGCATCGTACAAAATGGGGGTGAGTGCTGCGTAGATTGGTCATCAGCTTGTTTAAATTCTCCTGTGAGATGACATGCCAAAGTTTAGCTCAACAAATAAAGACCTACATCTCTGAAGATACATGTATTTCATCCATGGGAAAAAAGTAATAATTTGTCAGGTTTTAACTAGATTGCAAATTTCCCATATAAATGTACAAATGTTTATGCCTTCATCTTTCACTGTTAAACCTATTAAAAGGAAATATATTTTGGTTACTGTGTAATCAAAATGGAATATAACTCATTTGATATGAGATTCATTGCTTTGATAGTTATGAATAATTCCCTGTGCTTGCCCTCCTGAATCAATACTGTGATTGGGCTTTTATATGTGATAATCTTAAAGGCAGTCTCTCTGTTTTTCAGAACAGTTTTATTACTTCTGTATTTTGCATGGTAGCAATATCAAAATTATTCACAAGTCCAAAATCTCCCTTTGGTAAAATATTTTGAACTCTGTGCCATACCTGAAAGAAATTTACCAATTCCAATGTCGTATTTAGCTTAAAAAAGAGAGGTGTATGAAAAAAATTTCTGAATGACAACACCCTCAAACATTTGAAATAGTTTTCATTTTGATATATAAATGCGACAATATCATTTCATGTTGAACAGGGAAGAAACTAGTATATCATTTAGGAAAGAAAATTTACCTATAGTAAATAATGTTCTTCATCCTCTTGCTACAGGACTTCATTAGTTAGAACATCACTTTTCAATTTTTAAACTCTTTTTCTTCAAGTAAAAGGACACAAAGTGAGCAAACAGGTACATACCCGGAAAAGAGCTGAGACAGTCTGGAAAGAAGAACCCTTCTTCTTGCCACCCTTTTTGCCACCACCACCCTCTGCAAAAGGAAGAAGGGGAAAATAATATTAAAATACTGATGTTGAACACTGAACAATTTTTTTATATTGTTTCCTGTTTGATTTCCTGTCAACATTGTCCCTCATTAAAAACACAGTTTCCACAGAGCTGACCTGCATCTGCTCCACCATAGTTGGCAAAGAGTAAGGCCAATGTCTTCACCGATGATTTCTGGTACAACCCAATGACAGTTTCATTCAGGGGGTCCTTGTTCTTCTCAAGCCAGCCAGTGATGTTGTAGTCCACTGTGCCAGCATAGTGCACCAGGGAGAAGTGGGCCTCAGTCTTCCCTTTGGCAGGCTTGGGCTTCTGGAAGTTGCTGGACTTGCCCAGATGTTGGTCGTAGAGCTTGTTCTTGAAAGAGGTGTCAGTTGCCTTGGGGAACATGCACTCCTCTTCCAGGATGGAGAAGATGCCCATGGGCTAGAAGACATTATAACAGACAAGAAGCATAAACAGATTCTTTGGTTGGAAAGAAGCTAATGTTAGGACAAAATGCTGTGAAACAAATCAGAGGGTAAGGTTAACTGTGTTCTTTTCTGGAGAATATGCCACAGAAAGTTAACTGAGGTTCATAATTTTTCATCCTTGGTGTTTCACCTTTACTTATGGAACTACTTTAACTAATGCTTAGGAATTACAGAAGTGCAGAGCACTTTAGTGCATGAAATTTATCATATTCATCCAGACAAAAAAAAAATTCTTTTTGTGTCCCTCAATAACTAGAGAATTCCAACATCATGCACCTCAACAGGAAGGATACCTTCTCAATGAGCTCAATGCAGGCAGCCAGGTCCATCCCAAAGTCAATGAACTCCCATTCAATTCCCTCCTTCTTGTACTCCTCCTGCTCCAGCACGAACATGTGGTGGTTGAAGAACTGTTGCAGTTTCTCATTGGTGAAGTTGATGCACAGCTGCTCAAAGCTGTTGAACTACCAAATGTAAAAAAAAAGATTCAATGTTTTCAAGGTTCGGTCTTCACCACCACGCTTTTCCCTGTCTTATTCTGATCTTTTATGTATCAGGCCCCTTCCCTACCTTTTCTTCCAGAAATCCTTCAGTGGGACTGTACTTACATTCTGAAGAGAGGAAAGACCTCTAAGTCATTGTAATACAGAGATTTTTCGTTTGCTTGTTATCATTCCATATAATATGGGTGTTTTGGAATCTCTGAATTCTAAAGCAAATTTAGTAAATAACTACAGCACACTAGACTCTGCCTCTCCCAACACCCCGATCATGAAAATTGCCATAATTTGCTACTCAAATATTTTTCTGTTCTTAAGAGAGTGGTTCTAGATATTTCTATGCACTGGTATGGAAACTTTTGTGGTTCTTTCACCAACAGTATGAACATTTTCTAATGTCTTTCAATAATTCCCACCAAGAGCATGATTATTTCTAATATCTATGCATATTTTCTACACCTTTGGCCCAGATGCTTTGTCACAGATTTCTTCCTTTTTTCTTTTGTTTTAAGTAAGCTAATATTTTTGCACACTGTGGTATTAGTCTCTTTCTTGTTGAGATCTAACTATGGAAAAGGTCAGTTTCTTTAATTGTGAGATCTCTTGACAATTGTATTTTTTATAAAAAATCTGATTCTTCATGAAAGAAGTCTTAGAATTTTCTTAATATCCATTGTTCCTTCCATGAAGCTGTTGTGAAATCCCTGTTCCTTACATCAAAGATCTCAAAACCAGCAATGTCCAGGACACCAATGAAGTACTGTCTGGGTTGTTTGGTATCCAGCTGCTG